GTCGAGCTCTCGAGTACGGAGCCCGTCAATACGCGCGCCAACACTCTCGCCATCTCGGAAGGCGTCGGCGCCGTCGGCCGCGAGGCGACGTGGGACGACTTCCCCAACGGCCGCTGGGGTGATGCCCGCTCCCCAGCTTACGGTGAGATCGACGGCTACGGCGTCAGTCTGCACATGTCTGTGACGCAGGCCGTCCGCCTCTGGGGCACGCCCAAGACGGTTCAGGACATCAACAACATTTTCATCCGCCACATCAAGGGCCAGCTCAGCGCTATTCCCTGGTCCGAGGAGGAGCTCCTCCCAGAGTCTAACATCATCCAGCAGGAGCTCCTCGAGCTCAACACCCGCGGATGGTGGACCGTCGCCTCCCAGCCCGCCGTTAATGGCATCCCCTCGCGCGACCCGACCTTCGGCTGGGGCCCTCAGCATGGCTTCGTCTTCCAAAAGGCCTTTGTCGAGCTCTTCATCCCCTCGTCCGACTGGGCCGGCCTCGTCGCACGCCTCAACGAGGTGACGGACAACACCATCTGCTTTTACGCCGCCAACGCTGCCGGTGACTTTGTGTCCTCGGACGCGAGCGGCGGGCTCGTCCTCGAAGGCACCGAAGCCAGCACCAACGCCGTCACGTGGGGCGTCTTTCCCGGCAAGGAAATCATCACCCCCACCATCATCGAGGAAGTCAGCTTCCGCGCCTGGGCGGAGGAGGCCTTCAATATCTGGAGCGAGTGGTCTAAGGTCTACGGCAAGGGCAGCGAGAGCGAGAGCCTGTTGGAGCGGATACGCTCCGATTACTGGCTCGTCAACATCATCCACCACGACTACATCGATAGGGACGCGCTTTGGAAGCTGCTGTCGGGTGAGAGGGAAAACTAGAAGCCGTTGGAGGGAATGCGCAATGGAGAGAGGAAGAAAAAGAAGAATGAACGATCAGGCGGGCATGGTTATTGTGTACAGTCGTGATTACAGCCCCCCACCCCCAACCAAAAGTACCAAATGGAGAGAAGAAAAACAAAACGAGATACCGGTCATATTCATGCCCGAGGCTGTCGCCCCTCGCTGTCATCTTTGGGTTTAAAATGTGCATCTTCACAGGCATACTTATACTTGCCCCGGCAGCGTAGTAGAGAAAAGGCCGTGCGTTTTGCGACACACTGCCACAAACCCAAGAGGAACCCCAGGCAAAACATGGCCGGTATCCCTCCGCGTCATCATATCACTGCGTGGGCTATGTAACCAAAAGTGCGAAACATATCGGCCTAATGCCTTGGTATCTTGTTGAGTATCTGCTCCACTTCCTACGGCTCTGCGAGCCTGGTAGAAAGACCAACTATCTAGAGTCGAAACGAGCCAGTTCGTTATCCTTCCGTTGTGTTTGTACATAATCCCCGAGGTCTTGAAATCCTTTACCAAGGGGCTAATAGACAAGTGAAACCCAACGCCAATCCTGGGTGATGGTGTCCAAGGGACCCGTAAAGAAATAGAGTGGAATCGACATGTATAGCAAGTGGCGAAACGAAAATCACGTGTGAACGCAGACCCAAAGTGTTTCCCATTCCCTAACGTCCCCTCCTACCTGCTGGGGCAATTGTCTTAGATCTCGCCATCGTTGCCCGTGTAGGGGTCAAAGTCGCCACCGCCATGTCCCATGCTGTCAACGAAGCTGAAGTTGAGCGGGTCGTCGTTGAAGACACCGACACTCTGGGAAGGGTCGAAGCTGGAGTGACCAGAGTAGCTGCCATTAGAGGCGGGCTGAATGGCAGGCTGAGCAGCAGGTTGAATGACTGGCTGAGCAACAGGCTGGACGATAGACTGCTCATAGGCAGAGGCGGGGCTCCCAAAGATCGATTGCACCCGTGCCTGCTGCTGCATGATGGCGGGCTTCGTGTCGACAGCGGCGGGGAGCTGGTAGCCCACCGAGTTGTCGGGGGTGTTGACTTCGCTATCGGAGGTGGTCAGGTCGACGGCAGCAGCCTGGGCAATGTTGGCAGCCGCGGCGATAGTAGCGGCACGGCTCGGAGTAGCGCTGCGGCGAGGGTTTGGGGTATGTCTGTTCTTGGACACGCGGCCGTCGAGAATGTGATCGCGAATGCGGCTCTTGGAGGGTGTGTCCTCGAGTTCGTTATAATCGACGTCCTCATCCTCCTCTTCGTCCTCCTCTGAGACCGAGACGGGGGCAGGCTTAAGCTGCTTAGTCTTTTTGGCTGTGGTTGAACGACCGCCGCCCGAAACGCGCGTCTTGGTAGATGGGGTGCGCGGCTTGCGAGGAGTAGAGAAGGCGCTGGAGGTCGCACTAGCCGGGAGGTTCAGTGCGGTAGCCGGGTTGCCGCCGCTGTTGGCCGTCTGCTTGAGAGACTCGGCGTCCTTCTTGATGCCTCGGAACTGGAATTGAATGCCATCGGTGGTGGATTCACCGAAGAACTTGGCAATCTCTGTTGTTTCGTGTCAGCAGGTATTCGTGATCAGACGGTGGCCGGATGATATGTGTTCGCGGTATAGTCAAGTGGGGTCATAATGAACAGGCTAAGAGGCAGCAAAGCAGCCTTACCCTTCTTCTCCTTGGGCAAGTCTACGGGGATGTCCTTGCAGTCGACGCCCTGATCGGTCGCCTGTTGAAGCGTCCAGGTATGGTTACGGATGGCTCTGAATCGATGATTAAGCGCATCCTTGGTCATATCCGATCCATAGAACTTCTGGATGTCTGTCGTACGTCAGAAATGACGTTGACGATGAGAATCGGAGAAGACGGGCAATATTGGAAGGAACAGACGACTAGAGTGAACGACGAGAAGGAGGCAGGGATAATGGGGGTGATGAGGGCAAGATGAAAAAGGAGAGAATTAGATCTTACCCTTGTAGTTCCACTTAACCTCGGGGTGGGCAGCCACAATGGCACGAAGAAGGCGGGCCTGGGCCTCATAGGTCTTAAAATTGGCGGGAGCCATTGCGATGCGTGATCTTTCCACGTAATATGTCAGTATACACACAGTTATAAGACGATCATGGGCCAAAGGAGTGTTTGGGGTATATGGGCGCGAGCCCGACGAGTGAGCATATTCATACCTTGTGATAGGACCAAAGTTGTGTAGATGTGTATTGTTGGGGGTGAGGCTTCTGATAGAAGTGTTAGGCCTGGGTTGATATTGAAGGTGATGCGGTGCGAAGTAAAATATTTGTGTAATGGGGTAAGATGTATTAGACGAGAAAGTGGCAAGTGAGGAAGAGAAGGGGAGGCAGCTCAGAGGAGCAGAGGAAGGCAGAGTAGTAAGAGGACGAAGGCAACCAATACTGGTAGGAGCGAGTTTCTGTGCACTTACTATTTAAGTAATGGAAGGAGAGAGTTCTCAGTTTAAGGATCTGTAAACTTGAAGAACGTGGTTGATGCCTTGAGGTAATCTCTTGGACAGTGCGGTTTGGTGCTTAGTGCTGAAATTACTGTGTAGATAGATGTAAGCATTGAGTTTGGAGACTGAAGGTGAGCAGAGAAGAAACAAAGTGTAGGCAGATTCTGGGCGTGCGGTTACTCTTCTGATGAAAAAGGCAGGAAGCCGGTAGATGAGGTCCGGGAGGCCAGGAAGGAAAGAGCAGTGAAGCTAGGTATGACTTACCTAGGTAGGTACGTAGAACTGGCGAGAGAGCACTCAGTGCTTGTGTGGCAGATCTGACGGCCAGGCCTACGGGGGATGTTAGCTACGGCTTGGTCAAAAGTTGATAGTGCTGAGGTTCAGATAGCAAGAAACACGAGCAGCTTGGAGACTGGTGGTCTCTTTTCGTGGGCTGGTTTGCAAAGGGCCCCAGGAAGTGCCTGGGCCGAAGATGTATGCAGCTACTAGACTGATTATTCTGTCCAAGCAAAATAAAATCACTTGATGTGATCACAGCACTGGCAGACAGTGATGCAGACAACAGAGTCTGAATGGCAGGAGCCTTCACACCGTCACTTACACGGCTGCATCTTAAAAATGTCGACTGAGACTTCCATGGGATTTCAACTGCACCTCATACCAACGCCTCATGCTGGGCAGGCAGGGCTCACACAAGGGGAGCAACCAGTTGGCATAGATCCAGAGGATCAGCTTGCATGCCATGCAGAAGGCTGCAAACATTGCGTGAAACAGGTAGGACAAAGCAGGAGGGAAGCCAACACTAGGCACTGAGGTCGAGAAGGACTGGTAAATGACAAGAAGAAAACAATAGCGTGCTTACCTCTGAGGTGATTGCTTTCTGGTCTTCAGTCTTGTACAGCCCAGTCGCTTCCAGTCAACTAGAGACCGGCTGTGGAGATGTCGTATCTCGGTCGATGATGCTCTTTGCGAGTCTCCTCAAGTCTTCTTTGGGCGAGACTAAGACTATGGCTGATGAGGTACAAGGAACACCCAAGCTCTCTAGTAGAAGGTTGCTGGGATGAATGTTGCCGAATGTTGAGCCAACAGCTGAGCTGTCCTCCAGACGAGTTTGTAGATCATCAATGAGTCGCCAGACGTATCAGCAGTATCGAATACGCAAACCAGCAGATCGCACGCGCTTGAAGAGGCTCGCAGGCTTCAAATTTAATTGCCGGTTGGCCGGGTGAAAAGTAAACAGATATCGAAACGGGAACAAAAGAGCTGACTGTGGGTCGTAATGTATAAAACCGTATGTATAAAATGATTAAGAAGCGTTCTTTTAAGGAGCGAATTTGAGTAAGTCGGTATTTGCTCGAGATCACGATTGAGGACGATGGTGTGGTTCGGCAGTTGGTAGTTGGGTGGTCAACTTGAAAAGTGGGAGGCTGGGAGGCTCTCGAACTCCTGAATTTTGGCGATGCCTGGTGCTTCTGGGATAAGGAGGTACATTAACGAGAGGACCCTCAAGAGTGCGGCGGCTTAGAGTTATTACGCCTTGCTTCAAGAAAGAACATCGCACTATAAATTGGGTATCCAGGTAAATGTACTCTAGAATGAAGGGCATTTCTTACGCTGTTTGTGATGCTGCAATTTCCTCTGGAAGACGACTAGCCAAGTAGTCGTTAACATCGAGTAACGGCTTCAGCGCTCACCCAGAGACGATTGAGCTCACCTCACTCAGCAGAAAACCCCTGCATTCACACGGCAATTACAATTGGTCCCATGCTCTTGGCCCCTGAAACTCCCTGTCTAATCCCTGTCTAAGCTACCGCCCAAATCTTTGCTGTATCTTCCTAAACCTACAACCGTGCCATGTAAATCGTGCACGTCGCTGGAAACCAGAAAAGACGGTGGGAAACCCATTGTCGCAGTAAAACATGTGGGAAAGTGCACCGCCAGCAATTTATCGCAGCTCCTTTCCATACGGACTCGAGGTTCTACGGCCAGCGGGACTGGACCTCCCGCTGACGTGATCTGGCAAGGGCGGCTTGTAGACGCCGTTCGGGTACTGAGGGTACTGGGACATGGGGTGTTCCTTGATCTCTCCCTTCTCGCCATCGCCGTACATGAGGTACTGAACGCCGAGGAACGAGTCGCAGCAGGCCTGGAAGATACCACAAAGCTTGAAGGCCCAGGGGATCTCGGTCGTCGAGGTGAAGAACCAGAACATCTTCATGCCGTCACCGATCAGCCAGCTCGCCAGTACGGAGAAGCGGAAGCCCTTGCAAGACTTGGACCGCACGTTGGAAAAAATCTGAGGCAAGGGCAGCGTCGCCTCCACCGACAGACCAATGTAGCCGATGAGCGTCGAATAGGTTTGGTATATGGGTCGCACGGGGGCGAGGAGCAGTTCGCAGACGGTCAGGCCGATGAATAGGTAGAGCAAGAACTGCCAGTAGCTATGATATATGTCAGTCGCAGGTCAGGGAGGCCGGCGCACGCAAAGCCAGGGACTCACGGCTTGGGCGACTTCCACTGCCAAAAGTGGTAAGGCCTCTGTGCCCCAAATACGGGTCCATCGTTGACGTTTGCAAAGGGCACCGCGGCCTCTCCTCCTTTGGACGACGGGGGCAGACGATGGTCGAGAGCAATCTTGAGCAAGATGACTTGCATCACGATCATCAGAAGCGCCTGAATGAGTAGGGCGGTGTCGAATCGCGCGCCAGGCCAGTAGAAGATCCTGTGGGGGAGGTAAGGTATCAGCTTTGCTCCGGAAGCGACGGGTTCAATGGGATTGACACACTTCAGCAGAGACGCCACCAGCATTATCAGCGGGATATCGAGGGAGAAGCCGGCGCTCGACTTCTTTCTGTGCATAGACAAAGCCTGGTCGCTGTAGGAGAGGACTGGCGACATGATGAGGAAGATCGGGGCTAAGTAGCCCGCAAAGGACGTTAACCAACGCATGGTTACGATAGAGGGTTTTTCGACTTTGCAGCGCGCAAGAGGTTAGCACACGCGGGCGACCAAATCAGCGACGCCAAAAGGAAAGATTCTGAGAAGTAGAGGGGTCAAAAGAAGGACAATTCTCCCGTCTAAAGATGCTGGCGAACGCGTCGAAACTTGCAAGAAAAGAGGTGACGAAGCGGGTGCGGTAGACACACTGGGTTGCAAGCGGGCGGTCGCAAAGTCGTTGAGGCCGATCTGAATTTGGAGAAGATGGGTATTTTTGGGGGAGCCAATGAACAGCCAGCCAAGACAGGTCGGACTGCCCACCAGTGAGGACCAAATTGCTTGTTTTTTTGCGCTGACGTACCTACGTCGCCTTTCTGGCTTTCGCAATATCCCTTAGGTCTCCTCTGTACCGCGAAAACCAGTGGGACAGTTTCGACGGTGACAAGGTTTATCAGTCCCGGGCAGTGGAGAGCACGAGCGGAAGGTAACAAGGGAGAGCTGCCACCTGACTGCCACTCGGACACACGACACGGCACGAGGGATGCTGCCGGAGCCCAAAACTTGGCCCATCTTAGTACTATGTATAGTCGGGGCTTGCTGCGGAAGGATAGGTGCGCTAGGAAGGGATGGACCCACTAAAACCTTCTACACTATCGTCCATTGCATCCGTAAGGCGGTGATTGGTACTCGACATATGCCAGCGTGCGCTATAACCAGTCGGCCTGGAAATGTTTTCTTATCATGGCCTGCGCTCGGTTCGGGCTCATCGGATGGTAACTTTGCGATGACAGGGATGAACAGTCTCATTGTTCCTGCTCTCCCCTTTTTGTCCCATAGCAGATGGCAAACGAGTATTCCTTATGCCTTAGCCTTGGGCCGCATGTGCTTTGGGCAGAGGCAGACACGCATTGATTCTTCGCCGGGACGGTGTTCTTTTTTTCCTTCTTTTCTTCCGGGCCATGTTCCACTGGCCGGCTGCCCCTTGTGACTCACTAGCCATGTTCCGATGCAGGGCCAACGACAGCGGTGACAACAGGGGCTTCCCTCCCGTTTGTCACTTGGAGGGGAACGATAGAACTTCAGCCCTAATTCATGCGCTCCTGACGCCCAAACACTAAGCACCGGGAGTGGAACACTTGAAGTTTGGCCTAGAGAAGATTGACACTTGTCATGGCCACAGTGAACGTACAAACATACCGGTAGATGGGAAAACTGACAGGGGAATGAATGGATAAGAAAAATAAAAGCCCGCGCCACTCCAGCCACAAAACGGAAGAGTGCCCCGCCATGAGAGAAAAGTCTCAAGACGCCAATTTCCAACCACTCTTATCGTCTATCTGCAGCCTAGCTAGCTGCCCCGCCAAAATTTTGTTAATCACCCCGCCAGGTCGGAGGCCGACTCACTCAAGATGGCGCGCCCCAAAAACTTGCCTCTTTCGCATTCCGCCACTCCGGGAGAGACTTCCCCATTGATCGCTGGTAGCTCCCCGTGTCCTACGCCCACAGTAGGCAAGATGGAGTTCCTCACCCTCGTCGGCTCCGAGGCCTACACTGCCAAGCAGGCCGATGAGCTCAAGGCGCGCATCAACAAGATCCAGAGCTCCAACAAGGTCACCAACGTCGCCGGCATCTGGGTTTACTACGTCCACCTCAAGAACAGCGACAACAACCTCATCGTCCAGCAGAAGCTGACCAAGTGGCTCGGCCTGCCCGATCAGACCAATGCTCATATTGCCGCCAACACTGATACCCAAAAGACGTACTATGTCACCCCGCGCAATATCTCGCCCTGGTCGTCCAAGGGAACCAGCATCACTCACGTCTGCGGCCTTTCAGACCATATCGACCGCATTGAGCGTGGCCGCGCTATCACTATCAACTTTGAGAGCCCCGTCTCCGAGGACGATGTTGCCTTCAAGGATGTCGTCTACGACCGCATGACCGAGACCATTGGTCTGTCTCGCCCCGACCTGTCCGCCATGTTCATCGAGGGCCAAAGATTCCCCCTCGAGATCGTCGACATCTTCGGCAACGCCGATCCCGTCGGCACCCTCAAGTCTTACAATAAGCAGTTCGGCCTGGCCATGGACGACTCCGAGATCGAGTACCTCGTCGAGGTTTTCAAGCGTCTCGGCCGCAACCCCCACGACGTCGAGCTCTTCATGTTTGCCCAGGTCAACTCTGAGCACTGTCGCCACAAGCAGTTCAATGCCAACTGGACCATCGACCAGCAGCAGATGGGCAAGAGCCTCTTCGAGATGATCAAGAACACCCACAAGTCCAACCCCAACTTCACCGTCTCCGCCTACAGTGACAACGCCGCCGTTCTCCAGGGCGAGACTGCCAACTTCTGGGCCCCCGACTACTCCACTGGCAGCTGGAAGCTGACCAAGGAAGTCGTCCATGTCCTCGTCAAGGTTGAGACGCATAACCACCCCACCGCCATCTCTCCCTTCCCTGGTGCTGCCACTGGTGCCGGAGGTGAGATCCGCGATGAGGGCGCTGTCGGTCGGGGTTCTGCCCCCAAGGCCGGTCTTTGCGGTTTCTGGGTGTCTGACCTCTTGATCCCCGACGAGAATGCCCCGTGGGAGGTTGATCTTGGCAAGCCCGCCCACTTCGCCAGCAGTCTCGATATCATGCTGGAAGCTCCTATTGGCAGTGCCCGTTTCAACAACGAGTTCGGCAGACCCTGCCTGCTCGGCTGCTTCCGCACCCTCCTGACCAACGTTGGCAAGGACGACTCCCCCGAGTGGCGCGGTTACCACAAGCCCATCATGATCGCTGGTGGTGTCGGAACCGTCCGTCCGCAGCACGCTCTCAAGGAGCTCGGGGACGTTCACGATGGCGCCCACGCCATTGTTCTTGGTGGCCCCGCCATGCTCATCGGCCTTGGTGGAGGAGCCGCCTCCAGCAGTGCCTCGAACGAAGACACTGCAGAGTTGGACTTCGCCAGTGTTCAGCGCGGCAACCCCGAGATGGAGCGTCGCGCTCAGATGGTCATCGACGCCTGTGCTGGCCTTGGCGAGCAGAACCCCATTGCCATGATCCACGATGTTGGTGCTGGCGGCTTGTCCAACGCCCTCCCCGAGCTTGTCAAGGACGCCGGCTTCGGTGGCAAATTCGAGCTCCGTCAAGTCCACAGCGCAGACAGCAGCATGAGTCCTCTGCAAATTTGGTGCAACGAGGCCCAGGAGCGTTACGTCCTGCTTGTTAACAAGGAGAACGTCAACCGCTTCGTCAGCATCTGCCGTGAGTTTCCCCTTTGTGCGGATACGTCCTTGCCACCCCCACTGACCACCGTTCACAGGCCGTGAACGCTGCCCCTTCTCTGATGTTGGAACTGTCGTCGCTAAGGATGCTGAGGGCAACGCCAAGCTAACCCTTAGCGACCGCGACTCTCCTGAGCACCCCATGCCCATCGACCTCCCCTTTGACGCTCTCTTCCCTCCTGGCCGCCGTCTCGAGCGCGTCGTCGAGTCTCGCAGATTGGAGCTGCCTACGTTCACCGCTGCTTCCGCTCTGGCCGCAGCCGGCGTGGCCGACGCCACCGACTCTGCCGCTCTCATCACCGCCGCCACTGAGCGCGTCTTCCGCATGCCCGCCGTCGGTTCCAAGTCTTTCCTCATCACCATTGGTGACAGGACCGTCGGTGGTCTGTCCGTCCGCGACCAGATGGTCGGTCCCTGGCAGACTCCCGTCGCCGACTGCGCCGTCACCGCAACCTCGTTCAGCATCGGCTCCAACACCCGCACCGGCGAGGTCATGGCCATGGGAGAGAAGCCTCAGCTTGCCCTCATTTCCCCTGCGGCCTCCGCCCGCATGGCGGTCGCCGAGAGTTTGCTCAACCTCGGCGCTGCCGACTTCTTGGGCCAGTTGGACCGCGTGAAGCTGTCCGCCAACTGGATGGCCGCCGTCAACCACCCGGGCGAGGGCGCCGGTCTTTACGAGGCCGTCCGCGCCATCGGTATGGAGCTGTGCCCGCAGCTCAAAATCTCTATCCCCGTCGGCAAGGACTCAACATCGATGAAGGCGTCGTGGAAGGACCGCGAGTCTGGAGAGGCCAAGAGCGTCACGGCGCCCATGTCCGTCATCATCACTGCCGTCACTGTTGTCGATGACGTGCGCAACACCTGGACACCCCAGCTCCGCCGCGTCGAGGACGTCGGCGAGACGATCCTCATGTACGTCGACCTCGCCGAGGGCAAGAAGGCCATGGGCGGCTCCGCCCTGGCGCAATCGCTGGGACAGATGGGCAATGAGGTACCCGACGTGCGCAACGTGGATCTCATTGCGGATTACTTTGATGCTCTGCAGCAACTACACAAGAGCGGCGTCGTCCTCGCCTACCACGACGTCTCCGACGGCGGTCTGATGACGGCCGTCGCCGAGATGATGTTCGCCGGCCGCTGCGGCGTCGACCTCATGCTCGACGGCATCGCCAAATCCGGCGCGCCCAACGACTTGCTCGAAGCCCTCTTCCACGAGGAGCTTGGCGCCGTCTTCCAGGTGCGCAAGGAGGACGAGACCAACTTCAAGCGCTGCTTCGCCACCTGCGGCCCTCCCCCCGGCCTCATTCGCAAGTTCGGCGTCGTCCAGCCCAAGGCCGACCAGACCCTCAGAATCCGCTACGGTGGTCACACGCCTGTCGTCAGCCTCGACCGTGCTGAGATGCAGAAGTGGTGGTCGAGGACGTCGTACGCCATGCAGAGGGAGAGAGACAACCCGGCGTGCGCCGACAGCGAGTACGCCCTCGTCTCCGACTCCACGGACCCGGGCCTGTCGTACAACCTCACCTTCTCCCCCTCGGAGAACATCATGCCGCTGACGGCGTCCCTGGGCAGCCTGATCCGCAAGGCGCCCCGCGTCGCCATCCTCCGCGAGGTGGGCGTCAACAGCCACCGCGAAATGGCCTTCGCCTTCAAGGCGGCCGGCTTCGACCCCATCGACGTGCACATGTCGGACGTGCTGGCAGGTCGGTCACTCGCGGACTTTGTGGGCGTCGCGGCGGGTGGTGGCTTCTCGTACGGCGACGTATTTGGCGCCGGCGTCGGCTGGGCCCAGTCCATCCTCGAGCACAAGCACGCGCGCCAAGAGTTTGAGAACTTCTTCAAGCGGCCCGACACCTTTGCGCTGGGCGTGTGCAACGGCTGCCAGATGATCACGCGCCTCAAGGAGCTGATCCCCGGTACCGAGAACTGGCCGACGTTCGTCGAAAACACCAGCAGGCAGTTCGAGGCGCGCGTCGCCATGGTCAAGATCGACGAGTCCCGCGCCGCGACGCCGTCCGTC